GTAAGCTGGATTCAGAAGGAGACATGGAGTGAGGGATATCATAGCTGATGTCTGATGGATCTTGGCTGGAAGCAAAGAATACCAGAAAGAAGTTTACTTGTGTTTCATTGAATATGCAAAGACATTCAGTTGTGTGGGTCATAACAAATTGTGGATAACATTGAGAAGAATGGGAATTCCAGAACACTTAATCATACTCAGGAACCTGTACATAGACATGAGGAACCTGTACATAGACCAGGAGTCTGTCGTTCAAACAGAACAGGGCAATACTGCATAGTTTAAAATCAGGAAGGGAGTGCATCAGGGTTGAATCCTTTCACCATACTTGTTCGATTTGTATGCTGAACAAACAATCTGAGAAGCTGGACTATATGAAGAAGAACGTGGCATTAGGATTTGAGGAAGACTTATTAACAACCTGTGATACGTAGATGACACAACTTTGCTTGCTGAAAGTGAAGAGGACTTGAAGCCCTTACTGATGAAGATTAAAGACTTCATTTAGTCTGCAGTATGAATTGCATCTCAACATAAAGAAAACAAAAATCCTTACAACTGGACCAATAAGCAACCTAACAATAAATGGAGAAAAGATTGAGGTGATTAAAGATTTTATATTATTTGGTTCCACAATCTACACCAGTAGAAGTAGCAGTCAAGAAAACAGATAACATATTGCACTGGGCAAATCTGCTGCAAAAGACTTCTTTAAAGTGCTGAAGAGAAAGATGTTTCCTTAAAGACTAAGGTGTGCCTAACCCAAGCCATGGTATTTTCAGTCACCTCATATGCCTGTGAGAGCTGAAAAGAACAAGGAAGACTGAAGAAGAGTTGATGTTTTTGAGTTTTAGTGTTGGCGAAGAATTCTGAAAGTACTATGGACTGCCAAAAGAACTAACAAATCTGTCCTGGAAGAAGTGCAGCCAGAATGCTCTTTGGAAGCGAGAATGGCCAGGCTTCATCTCACCTACTTTGGTTGTCAGAATGGACCATTCCTTGGAGAAGGATATCATGCTTGGTAAAGTGGAGGGTCAACAAAAAAAGAGGAAGGCTCTCAACGAGATGGATTGACACAGTGGCTACAACAATGGGCTCAGGTATGGCAAGGATTGTGAGGCTGGTACAGGACCAAGCAGTGTTTTGTCCTGTTGTACACAGGGTCACTATGAGTCGGAGCCAACTCAATGGAACCTAACAACAACAATAAGAACAACTAGGTGCTTTTGGCAAAATTAACCCTACTTAAAGAGGTTAAGTTGTCACTGCTAGTAAGGGGTAGGTAGAGCCCTCTGAGAATCTGTTATCTACTCAAGTAGATGGGTACCATAATAATTGCACTCTAAGTTCATAGGTTGTATAAATGGTTATTGCACTTGACTGCTAACTGAAAGGTTGGGGGTTTGAGTCCACCTAAAGTTGCCTTGGAAGAAAGGCCTAGTGATCTACTTCAGAAAAACCAACCACAAAAACCCTATGGAGCACATACGGAATCACCATGAGTCAGAATCAACTCAATGGCAAGTGGTTAAGGAGAGTGCCGTCATAGGCACATTTTAGCCAAATGGATCTCCCAGAAGAGGGCTCTAAAAAGGGATTTGAAGAAGAAATAAAACACTAACAGGTAAGTATTGAAAGAGAGTTTCAGAGGCACCATGACCAGAGAATGTCTGATGCGGTTCATAGAACAATAAGTGGCTATTGTTTTGGCAGGGTGATAGGGAGAGAGAAGTTGTCAGCATGTGGAGGTCAGGTTGAGACATAACCAGGGGCAGTAGGAACCAGAAAGAGTTTTGACTAGAGAATGGCTAGGTCAGGACTGTGCTTTAAGAACTACTCCAGCTAACGTATGTCAGTCTGGGTAGGTGGTGGGGAGACTGGAGATGGGGGTACATATGGAGGCTATCTTGGTAAACTTGGCAGAACCTGGACAGGATCTGCATTGGGCCAAGCCAAGGGGAAGGGAGAGTTCCACTTTCCATCAGTATTCTCTCATTAGCTCTCTTCAGTCTTGGAAAACAAGGTAGAATTCCTTACCTGCTTAATTAGAAAGGTTTGATTTCTCTTTATCTGATAAGTAAGGAGTTGCAGTAGAAAGACCAAATCTAAGTGATGCTCTAGGAAAATTAATCTAGTGATGACGTAAAAATGGATTTGAGAGAGGCCAGTTAGAGGCTAGTGCCCACGCCAAGCATAGGGCAATTAAGGATGGAAGAACAATACTAGTGATCAGTAGGAGACTTCTAAAGGACAGAGGCAATAGAATAGATTGGATATGAAAACTTAATGATGACCCCAATGTCAAACCCAAATGACTATGAACATGGTAGTCTCCCTGTAGGACAGAAGAGAAGGCATTAATTTGAGAAGAAAGCATACCTATTTTAAGTATATTCCTTCAGGAATTACAATCACATTTTCATGGGGAAATCTCCAGAAGGTGTTCAAAGGTCAGAGCTGGTGTTCATAAGAGAGGTAGGGGTTTGAGATAACAAAGCCAAGCAGTTGTATTTGCATGGGGATAAAGTCATGTGGAATGGATGTCTGTGCTGAGGGACAAAATGGTAGCAAATGGAAATGAAAGCCAAGGGGAGGCCTCTGAAGGAGTAGAGCAGAAGCAGAAGCACTAGCACCTTCCAGAGAGACAGAAAGGGCAGGAGAGGACAAGAGTAGAACACGCAGAGCTGCAGAGATAAAGGGTGAGAAAGAAAAGTTGGTAAAATGCAGCAAACCTGTTGAGGAGGATGATGACATAGATCCAGGGGCTATTTGATGATGAAGGGTCACCTCCTCTCTCAGCAGTCTCCCTGATGCTCTCCCTCCCCATGCAGGACATCCAGAACTTTTCTTCCTCTGTTTGGCCTGAGCACAGGTGGCCGTAATAATGAGTTAGCCACTAGTGTTTGCTTGCCTATCAATTTGTGCTTTAGATCAAATGCTCCCTAAGAGCAAGGACCACGTGGGATCATCTAGCACAGCACTACAGAATAGGGACTTAGTGAAGAAATTAGTGCAGCCCTCTGAAAAAGCCATTTCCGGAGAATGAAAGTCAAACTTTAAGGTGTTATGGAATACGATGGAAAGGAAATTTAAGAAGCACGCGGTTATGTGAGAGGGGCTGGAGGTTATGAAGAAAAGAAGACAAAAGTCACATCAAGACAGAAGCAGAAAGAGTAAAAAGTTTTGTTCTTGAGTAGGGGAGATCGCCTCGTATGCATGTGAGAGCTGGACAATGAATAAGGAAGACCAAAGAAGAGTTGATGCTTTTGAGTTGTGGTGCTGGCGAAGAATGCTGAAAGTACCATAGACTGCGAAAAGAACTAACAGATCTGTCCTGGAGGAAGTGCAGCCAGAATGCTCCTTGGAAGCAAGAATGGCCAGACTTCGTCTCACCTATTTTGGTCATGTTGTAAGAAGGGACCATTCCCTGGAGAAGGATGTCATGCTTGGTAGGGTGGAGGGTCGACGAAAGAGGGGGAGGCCTTCAATGAGATGGATTGACACGGTGGCTGCGATGATGGGCTCAAGTATAGCAGGGATTGTGGGGCTGGCGTGGGATCAGGCAGTGTTTCGTTCTGCTGTGCATGGGGTCGCTATGAGTCGGAAACGACTCGACGGCACTTAACAACAACAACAACAACAGGGGAGATTTGATTAGGTTTCTAAACTGTGGTGAAAGCCAGTGGAAACGAGAGGGTGAGGACGCAGGATGAGGCAGTGGGTAATAATAGATGGAGTGAGATTTTGGGAGGAACTGGTACATAGAGAGGAGGGTGAATCTCTGAAGGCAGGGATGAGTGAAGATACAGAGAGATGTGAAAGTGGCAGGTGGAGGTAGTGATCGACCTATGAGGAAGGAAACTATGGCCTAATGGAAAAAAAAAAATCCTCGTTGAAGTTCTAACACTGCCATTTATAAGTTGTGCGACCTGTGGCAAGTGCCTTAACATTTTTTAAAGTTTCAGCTTTCCTTTCAGTAAAATGGGGGTATTACCTACCAATTCACAGTGTTGTTGTCCCTCTTATTTGCAAGTGTTTTCTTGGATATCTTTTTGTTTTTGCTGTTTACTTGTATTTGTTTTATTTTTGGCATGTTTTCCTTATAGAACAGAGAACCTGGAAGATGGTCTGGATCTTATGAGCAACGTAAAAAGTAGGTTATCTATCTAAGTACAAAGACAGTGACGCCAGACGCCTCAGCAATCAGGGAAAAGTTTTAGAGTGCTGTGCATAGATAGGGCAAGAAGATGGACACGACATAAATAAAAGGACTTGGAAGCACCAGCGAGCACCCGGGGAGATCTAAGGGTAGAGAAAACTGACCCTGGAGGAATCAGGTCCCTTGGTTGAAAAGAAAGTGGGGGGATATAACCAGAGGGACTAGTCCCTGGAAAGGATATTATGCTTGGTTAGTGGAGAGTCAGCGAAAAAGGTTGACCCTCAACGAGATGGTTTGACACAGTAGTTACAACGACGGGCTCACGCATAGCAAAGACTGGGAAGATGGCGCAGGACTGGGCAGTGTTTGGTTCTATTGTACCTAGAGTAGCTATGAGTTGGAAACGACTCGACCGCACCTAACGACCACCAAAATCTTCGTCTCTGACTCTCTCTTACAGTGAGGGTAATAAGACAGGTGCAAACCTTGCGGTCTTTGCATCTTACAAGGCCTTGCAAGGGGTTTCTGCGTGTCCCTAGGCTACAGAGATTGATTCTGCCCAGATGGACACCTTTTTAGAGACAGGTTCCCAACTACACCTCAGCCCAAAGATTTGAAGGCCTTTTAAGGAAAGCTCCGTCAAGCCTCTGGGTATACGGGCCACTTACCAGGCACGTGCTGCTGGGTACAGGACCTCAGGCTTTTTTTCCTTTTTGGTAACTTGCCCAGTGAGGAGAGGCCCCGCCCTTCCGCGCCGGGTCAGCGCGGGGCGGGACTCCAGCGCGGGCCAGGGCAGGGGCGTGGTCCCGGGGCTCCCTCCCGCCTCTCCGCGGCGCTCCTTTCTGGACGGGTGGAAGCGGCGGCGGCGGCGGCCCTGGGGGCCATGGCGCTGCCCCAGACCTGGTTGCAGCCCAGGTAGGGCACCTGGCTGAGGCCGGGAGAGGGGGCGGGAGGGTCCCCCGCGGCGGTGGCTATCCCCGTTCACTGCCCAGTGCCCCACGCAACGCGCCTTTGAGCACTTGATAGATATCTGCTAATTTAAACCTCTTGGCTATCCTAGGAGGAAGGCACTGCTATTTTCTTCATTTTACTGATGAGTAATGGGAAGAACACACCGCATAGCTACCCTTTCCCGTTTGGGTGCCTCTGCCAGATCTCGCGCCAGCTTACCCTTCTCCCAGTCTCTTGGGAGCCCTTTCTTTGACTTTCTGGGGCGCCTGTGTTGCATGGTGCAGAAACACCTACTGCACATATAGATGCCACGGCCTGTCCCAGAGGAAAGTTTTCAGTGGTATAGAAGTAGGGTCTGGGAATCCGTGGGTTTAACCGACACCCCAGGTTCTGTTTCTGATGAATCTACCCACCCCTCAGTAGTTCATGACATCTAGTAAGGTGCCCGAGTAAAATCACCCAGCTTATTTGCCCTGTTTCTCACAAATTTCACATCTCCACCAAGAAAAAACCTTGACTGAGTTTTCTACACTGGCAGGGCCCCTCCCAACACCTTCTGAAGGGTCTATGCTCTCAAGAAACACTGAGACATTCTTTTCCTAGTTCCCTCAAAACGTGTATCTGTCAGTCTTCTTTTAGTCATTTCTTTAGCAATCCACAATACATTTGAAAACCCAGTTTGACTTCCCCTTTCTGGCCTTCTGAGTAACTAAACAGCTTGCTATTTGTACGCTAACTAAGGAAACTGCCTTCAAAATGTAATAGGAGGCAGGGCCCCAGTCCCAAAGTCAGTAAGTCCTCTTATTCAATTATCCGCCATTTAGGATCACCACCATTGACACTCCCCTCTTGTTACTATAAACCAATTATCTTTGAGGTTCTACACATAGGCTGAGCTTCTGGAACTCATGCTGACCACATCAACTCCTCTCCATCCATGTTATTTTCTCCCCTAAAATACCCAAAAGCCATCTTTGCTGTGATTGCGTTGTAACCCTTAGTGAACAGCAAGGGTGGAACTTTATCAAAGTTGAAAGTTGATTGTGCAATAGAACCATATTTGCCTTTAAGCAAACTCAAGATAGTCACTTTAGGAGATAGTGTGTACTGTGTATGTATGTATGTACTTCAAAACCTGAATTGCATTTGGGGGTAACCAAGTAAAAGACTCTGGTAATGCTATAAATCCATTGCCATGGAGTTGATTCCAACTCACAGAGACCCTATAGGATAGTGTAGAACTGCCCCACAGAGTTTCCTAGGCTATAATGCCCCCCTCCCTTTTTTTTAACTGTGATTTGGGTGAAAGTTGACAGAGCAAATTCGTTTTCCATGCAGCAGTTCATATACACTTTGTCTCATGACATTGACTACAATTTACCCCGATGCAACAGCTCCCCTTCTACTTCCTCCTGATAGTTATGTCTTCCCTGTATCCATCCCTCCACGCACTCCTGCCCCTTGAGCTGTCTCCCTGTGCATGAACAGCTAGGCTATAATCTTTATGGAAGCAGATTGCCACATTTTTCTCCAATGGACTGGCTGGTGGGTTCCAGCTGCAGACCTTGGATTAGCAGCTGAGTGCTTAACCACTGTACCACCAGGCTTCCTTGATAATGGAATAGTAGGCAATTAAATACATAGGCAGTGTAATGTGGAAAGGATATTTACAAAGGAAATGTTTAATGGTGTTTTCCTGTATTTATAGGTATAGGAAGAATACCTATCTTTTCATCTATTATTTAATCCAGTTCTGTGGTCATTCATGGATCCTGACAAATATGACAGCCAGATTCTTTTCATTTGGAAAAGGTAAATCTCCAAAACAATTTTAGATTAAAAAATTTTAATCTGTGCTTTCACCTAGTCCTGCTTATATTAATTTTTTATTTAATTTTGGTGTTTCTTACTCAGTATCTTTCATTCCTCTCAAATTTATACTTTTTTCACTAGCTAAGTTTATTGGAAGCAGCTCTGGTAGCGTAGTGCCTAAGGCATTGACTGCTAACCAGAAGACTGGTGGTTCAAACCCACCAGCCACTCCTCAGAAGGAAGATTGGGCAGTCTCCTTCCATAGGGGTACCGACTCAGAAACCCAAGGAGGGGTTGCTATGAGTTAGATCTGACTTGACGGTCGTGAGTTTGGTTAGTTTTGGTTTATGTTTATTGGAAAGAGCTCTGGTGGCACAGTAGTTAAAGCATTCAGCTGCTAACCAGAAGGTGGGTGGTTCAAGCCCACCAGGCAGTCTGCGGGAGTTAGATGAAGCAGTCTGCTTCCGTGGAGATTTACCGAGTTGGAAACCTTTTGGGGCACTTCTCCTTTGTCCTATAGGGTTGCTATGAGTTGCAATTGACTTGATGGAATGTTTTTTTGTTTTTCAAATATTGCTTGGTTATTGGTAAACACTAAACCTTTTTGGAGAGGGAGGTAGGATAAGGAAAATGCATTTAGCTTCCCCCTACTAGGCAGTTTACCCTGAAAACACACGCATGGCCTGTGGATGGTATGCTTTCACTGTTCCTTTTTAGTCTTGTACCAAACGTTAGCTGACTTGATGGGTTTTGAGGAAATCTGTAAATAACCTTTTGCTCACAGAAATTGAGAACTAACCAAAGTATCCCCATGTCTTTTATTCCCTAGGCTTCAGGTAATTGGAGAACACTAATCAGTGAAGGACAAAATGCATATTCCCTGGGTGTTTATTTGCTCCCTTTAAGAAGGAATGTGCCATTAAGAAAATGACACACTTTGGAGATGACTACCAAGCATGATATCATTCTCTAGGGACTGCTGTCTCTTGATAACATGTCCAAAGTACTTGAGATGAAGTCTCACTATCCTTGCTTCAAATGAGCATTCTGGCTATACTTCTTCCAAGACAGATTTGTTCATTCTTCTTGAAGTCCATGATGTAGTCAGTATTCTTTGCTAAAACTAATTCAAATGCATCAAGTCTTCTTCTGTCTTCCTTACTTGTTGTTCAGTTTTTGCATGCATATGAGGCAACTGAAAATAACCATGGCTTGGGTCAGGCTCACCTTAGTCCTCATGGTGACATTTTTGTTAATGTATTATTATGGGCATTAATCATTAAGTCATAAACTTCTTCCACTTTCCTAAAAAGTAAAGACACGGTTCTTTAGATAGCTTTTCAATTTTTAAAAAATGAATCATTAAATGACTGTCAAAATAACATTCTCTCACATCCTACCCCATGTGGATAAGTGTCATCACAGTTTTAACTATTGGATAACGTGACAATTTTAGCAACTGCTGTTTTCAGCTAAAAGCAAATGTGGAGAATATTTCTGGGAAAAGTCATGCTGTGCTCATCAATTCAGACTTCTGTGTCTTAAAGAAAGGAATCTACTTCTGGGATTCCATAAACTATTTTATGTTGCTTTTTCTTACTGAAAATCTACAGATAAATTCTTGTATTTGTTAAGGACCTCCAAAGATACAACCAAAGGCTTGAATTTCAAATATAAGCATTTGCTATTAAGGGTATTTAAGTAGTGGAAAACACAGGCTGGTAAACACAAAATGGGAAAACTTCCTTTATATTTTTAGAAAAAAAAATCATCCTTTCTAGGCCTTGGTAGTAAACTGCAGCTGTGTCGGGGAGATTATAGGTCATTTGCAAAACAAGTCATAAACCACAAATTCTTTCTTATGCTGCTTTGACGCTTCATGTACCCAGCATTGCCAAGGATACTATGGCCTTTGCAGTGGGAAAAGTTGTATTAGTCAGCAGTGTATTTCTTCATTATACTCCTGTTACATAATACATATTATGTATAATATATATGTAAAATTATGTTGATAGAATCTAAATGTGTAAAATTATGATGATAGAATCTACTTATAATTAAAGAAACACAACCCATGGAAGGCAGACTGAAATCAACTAAGTGAGGGTTCAGAACAATTCCTGAGTTGAAGAATAAATGAAGTAGTTCAATAGCAATCTAATATGAACTGGGAACATGCACTACCTTCTTCCTTCACAGAGCTATGTAGTTGATAATTTCATGTTATACCAATAAAACCAAACTCACTGCCATCGAGTCAGTTTGACTCATAGTGACCCCTCCTTGGGTTTTCGAGGTGGTATCTCTACAGAAGCAGATTGCCCAGTCTTCTTTCCGAGGAGAGGCTGGTGGGTTTGAACCACCAGTCTACTGGGTAGCAGTCAGGTACCTTAGGCACTATGTCACCAGAGCTACCATAGCAAGGCCAGGGAAGTAGATAAATATGTGGACTGTCTGTGCCTCAGATATCCTCTGTGAAATGGGATAATGATAATAACATTGCCTCAGAGAGCTGTTGAGAAGAGATACCCTTAGTTTGCACTTGGTAACTTAATATCACGTGAATATTTACCAGGCAGTAAACACAGCAAACTCTTCCCTAACATTTTATTTTAATATTTAAAACAACAAATGTGTCCTTCCATTTGTTTCCCTTCCGTTTCAGCTCTCTCTAAATAGAATTTTTCTTTTGGCTCCATGCAATGCAAACTCCAAAAGTACTGATCAGAGGCCTAAATTTTAATCTTTAAAACTAACAAAAAAATAAACAAACAAAAACACTAACCAAAAATGTGCAGGACACAGATGTGCCATGTACTCATATGCATATACACATATGATGTTATGTCAGTTTGTTATTATCACAGTACCATTACTCTCATTTCCATAATGCTTTAAAAAGTCTTTTCATCTTTGCCATTTTCTTGTCATCAGAAAGTTGTGAGTGCAGCCCTCACAACCATTCTTTAATAAGCTTGCATCCAACCTATATATTTTTGTTGTGGTCCAAATTCTAGCTGTTACTTTTTATTCAGGAATTGCTTTACAGTCCCATATAGGAAGAATAAATACTATAGCTTTGACCATGAAACATTCTTTCTCAAGTTTTTACACTTTTTGGAAGAAGAGTGATTAACTTGTACTGTTGTTGTTGTTGTTGTTATGTGCCGTCGAGTCGGCCCCGACTCATAGCGACCCCTCCTTGGGTTTCCGAGGCAGTATCACTACAGAAGTGGATTGCCCAACCTTCCTTCCGAGGAGTGGCTGGTGGGTTTGAACCACCAGCCTTCTGGTTAGCAGTCAAGTGCTTTAGGCACTACGCTACCAGAGTTCAACAATATGAAATACATTATTTGATTGTGTCACATTCTTAATAATTTAGTAGTTTGTTTGAGAATTTCTGATGTGTTCGATGGAAAAGGAAATAAATAATTTCAGTTTTGTTGCAAAATTCTGATAGATTTGGACTGTGATCTAGTTTGTACAGGTCTTTTACTTACTATATCTGTGTTTTTACCGGGCACAGATTCAGTGGTTGACACTTTTTATGCTATTGGACTTGTGATGCGATTTTGCCAATCCATTTCCCTCTTGGAGCTGCTGCACATATATGTTGGCATTGAATCAGACCATCTTCTCCCCAGGTTTCTGCAGGTAGGCTTTAATCATATTGTTACTATTGGTAAATAATCTATAATTTATCTTTTCTCTGTTTCCAGCCTCCCTTGATTTTAAGGCAGTTAAAAGTCAACCATTGCCTTAAGTAATTAATAAGAATAATACTTCTATGAAAGGATTAGCTCATTCTAAAGCACTATAGTTAGAATAGCTATTTGGAAACATTCAAGACAATGATGCTTGTTTATCTATGCAACACTGCATTGATCTTACCCTGCCAGGAGATGTCTCAGCCACTTCCTCTCCACTTTCACTGCCCTGGGAAGCAATATAGAACAATATAGGATAGGAGTCATTCAGACTTGGGTTTGATGCCCTGGTTCCTCCACCTACCATCTGTGGGATCATGCCACCAGTAATCATTGGGCTGTTGTGGGGAAAGGACACCATATATTATTGGGCAATTTCCTTTGGTAGAGATACCACATTAGAAACCCAAGGAGGGGTCGCTAGGAGTTGAATCCACTCGACAGCAGTAAGTTATCTTGCCTCTAGACAGTGTTCTTTTTAAAGGCAGGTAGAAGGAAAATGGGAGATTAATTGATAGAGACTCACTATAGGAAGTCATTGCTGGATTAATGCAAGATCATAAAAATGTAGTATTTTCCATAAGGAAGGGGTGAGCCTTAGGGGTTAGGTGACTATGTGAACATGTGTTTAAAATCTATAGAAATAAATACTTCCATGAATATAATTTTAGCTGTCCCCAAAATAAATTTGAAAAACTGAAAAATAACTACACTTGACAAATTCACATTGTAAAAATGTCATTGTTAAAATATATCAGAATCTTAATGTATTGCCAGCACCTAGAGAAGTGCTTAGAACATGAATATATGCCTTAAATTTTTGTTGCACGAAGGAGTAGCATAAATCCATGTATTACAATTTCCTTAAAATACCATGAAGATTTTAAAGATGTAAATATCAATATAATCCTAAAGAGCCTATGAAGAACTCAGTATTTCAAGTTTAGTGGATATTTTAAATTTTATTTATTAAATAAATGTTGTTGTTGTTATATACTGTTAATTTTGAGAAATAGTATTCATTAGGACAAAGACTTTTTTTTTTTTTAATTGTGATTTGGGTGAAAGTTTACAGAGCAAATTCACTTTCCATATAACAGCTGTCATACACTTTGTCTCATGACATTGATTACAATTTACCACAATGCAACAGCTCCCCTCTCACTTCCTCCCCATAGTTACCTCATCCCTGTGTACTTCCCTCTGTGCATTCCTGCCCCCGAGCTGTCTCCCCGTGCATACAAAGCCTTCTATTCTCCCATGATTATTCTCTCCAAGCAGTGTGTCTACCTAATGGAAATGTTCACCTCATATGCTTGTCTTTTGTTTGGTTGGAAGCCACAGGAGTGGGTTCAATTCCAGACCTGAAGGGCAGCTAGGGGCCATAGTCTCAGTGGCTCCATCAGGTTTATCAGACCAGCAAAACTGGTCCTCCCCTTTTTTTTTTTTTTTAAATGATTTTGAGTTTTATTCCACGTTGTTCTCCCACTCTATCCAGACTCTCCTACATAGATGCCCCTCCTAGGGGTTGACAGTGGTAGCTGGGCACCATCTACTTCTTCTGGTCTCATAGTCGTATAGGCTGAGGATCACATGGGGTACCAGTTGCTTGGACTAATTGTTTCCATAAATCTTTGGTTTCCTTCATTCTTCATTGCTCTGGACGAGGAGAGACACATCATTGCATCTAGATGGCTGTTTGCAAACTTTTAAGATCCCAATCGCTGCTCGCCAAGTAGGAGGTGGAACAATGTTTTGTGTAATGGGTTATGCCAGTTGAACTTGATGTCCCTTGCGATTATGGTCCTGAGCCCATGGGTCCAAGTACTCACTTCCTCTGGGAGCTGGCTGTGGCCAAGGAGTGACTACAACCTTGTCCCTTGTCAGCTCTATTATATACCTGGGAATTCGTACAGAACATACCAATACACTTGTAGAAACATTGTTTGGCAACCCGATACATGGTCTTGGGCACACTCCTCCCTGCATAGACATACCTAATAGTTCAGCCTGTCCACCCGTCTATCCACCCATATAAACACGTTTGCCTTTACTAACAACACAGTACTGTATGTACAAAAAGGTTCATCTTTGTTGTCTGTACCTCCCATGCACCGCTCTATGTCTATTTTAAGTGTTGAAATATCAAATATAAAATTAAAATAAGGGCAATATTCAGTATGTTGTTAGGTGCTGTAAGGTCAGTTCCATCTCATAGAGATGCTACATACAACAGAACAAAACACTGCTCAGTCCTGTGCCATTCTCACCGTTGCAGCTGGGTTTGAGCCCATTGTTGCAGCCACTGTGTCCATCCATCTTGTTGAGGCTCTACCTCTTGTTTTCCATCTTTCTCCAGAGACTGGTCCCTCCTGATAATATGTCCAGAGTACATGAGACAAAGACTTGCCATCTTGCTTCTTTTTTTTTTTT